ATCAAACCCATGTTTCTCCATTTTGGCTTGCTTGCTTTATTTTCTTTTCTTGTAGTTCCTTACCATGCTTCTAGACTCACTGATTTCTCTGCATAACAAACCTCCGTTGTGTGCTGAGTTAATCTTTGTATATGACTGTTCCCCATACTGTAATAATATTTGAACATAATTCTGCTCCCAAAGGCAGCAGAATTCCTATTGTCTTCAGAGATGCTTCTGCTGAGGTTGAACTTTGGAGGGCAGTCTTGCTAATTATTTTAAGAATAAAGTACTGAGAACAGCAGAGCCCTGAGCTATGATGGGGACCCATGCATATGATTGTGGGTATGGTGAAGGATCCTTCCCACAACAGATGCTTGCTTTTCATGAAAGAAGAGCTATATGCACAGTTTCAGTCATGCAGGTGAAAAGCCTTTGGTTGGAAGCTACCTCCAGGAGTTCTGGCAGCTCATGTGTCTGGGTGTGTGCCTGCCCATACCTGCTTATAGGGAGCCATAGTTTCCCCAGCTGAAGCTTCAAAAGGATCAGGTAGGCTAAGGGGAAACAAGGAGCTAGGTATTTCTCTGTCTGCTTCTGAAGCACACAGCAGGAGCAGCTCCTCTCCTGAGCAGTGCTAGCAAAGGCTTGTGTGATAATCTCTTGGTTCTGTAGGCTGATAATAGTTGCAGTGCAAAAGGTGGTGAAAACCCTTTATGAGCAGAGGAGAGGAGCAGCAAGCTGCCTTAGAGCTCCTGAAGATTCTTCTTATCTCTATAGCTGGGTTTTCAGATACTAGGTTCACAGTCAGATTATGCTGTGAAAGCTGCCTGACATGTAGCAAAATGTAACATTGGGCTGAGAGGGACCTGTTAATTGTTTTCACTTTCAGCAGTTAGCTCTCTAACATTCAGCCTTTCATTGCTGCTGGAGAATCAGTCAGATGCAAAATCTTTGGTCCAGATCCCCTAGGTGATACTGTCTCCCCCTGGAATCAGTGGCATTTAAGAACAGAACACATCTGGACCTTTCTGACCAGGCCACTGTTAGCTATTATGTGAAAGACTGTAATATAATTTTACCTGCTAGGAGTTCTATTAACAAAAGCTGCTGCTTGGGATGAAATGTGGTTATTGTAACTCAATCATTTTACTTTTTTTTTTTTTTTTTTTTTGTGGCACAAGAAAAGTTCATTTGGCACAGGGGAGAGCGTAGAGATCTGAAGGAGAGTGGCTTACTGGAGGATTAACTGGGGATTTTTTTCCTCCTCCATGCTGAAGTCTGTTCTTTCTTCCCTCAGTCCAATGTCTTTGTCTTGTTCTTTAATACCCATGGTACTGTTCAGTACAGTCTATAGGATGTTTTTATGCTTTCATATGTGGTTGGTTTGTTCATTTGGTTTTCTCAAATTCTTCTGCTTGCCTACTTCAGCACTGGCCAGCTGAAATCAGTGGCTCTGTCTTTACTCAGGCAAGCATAGTATCAGGACCTTTCTTGATGTCAAACAATGGCCTGGTCATTGATTAGAAAGGAAGACAGAAGCTCAGCAGTCCTGTGCTGTACCATGTATGTCATAAATTTAAAACTGGGTCTCTGTGTATCTTTCAAGAGCTGTTGTTGTGAAGCAGTGAGGAAATGAGTGGTGATACTTACCTGCACTCACTTTGGAAGCAGGAACTGAGACTAAGAAGGATTCTCTTGCATGCTTTTGAGGATATACTGCTCAAGAGCTCCTCTGAGCTCTGCACGCTACCAGGGAGCTAAACTTTTTGGTCAATTAACTTGAGCACATGTTCAGTGCTCAGAAATGGAAATTTCCAGTCTGATCTTTTTTTGTGTATTATACCCTGTCAGAACAAAGGAATAGTTTATCAAGAGCAGAGTGGCCAGCGGATGAGTTGTTTACTACTCTCTGTGCATAGCTGGCACGTGGCCTTAGAGCAGAACAGTGCAGTCGTGACCTATTTGGCAACACCAACCAAATTCTTCTGCTGCCCTCTTTTCTCACAAGGCTTCTTGTTTTTATTTGGTAATACAAAAGCCACTGGAGTAGCTGAGCGACTCAAGGTTCATCTGGTAGAATAATGGACTTCTGTACTTGGAAGCAAGTGTTTTCCTTAGACAATTCCTCCTTCACATAATTTGGGCTTATGTCTCCGTGTCTTTAGCCAGCTCTGACTAAGCAACCTGCATCTCAGGGAGGGCTTGCTTGCTATTTGTCTCTCAAGAAGCCCAGAAATGAGTGTATTGCCAAACTGCTGATAGACACTTCCTTTTTCACACAATGACAGCAATGATAATGAATAATTAAATGAAGAGAGTCTATTGTATTTTTTTAATCATTACAAGAAGGCAAAAAATTCTGGTTTTGCCTTCTCCCTCCCCGCATACAAATGTGTTATAGCAAGGAAAAGTAGAATTACCACGTACTATTATTGCTTCTGAATCACCTAAGTAGTGTAGGTCAGTGTCAGGTTCTGTTGTTGTTACATTATCCCTACTCTGATTCCTCTGTTCCCCTTGTTGTGCAGGGTACAATGAGGACTATTATTGAGATTTTGGTAATGACAGAATGAAAGACAGCTAATTTCTCTCAGAAACAATGTGGATGACCAGCTTTCCTTCACTGCCAACCAGAAGTTGTCCTACTGAATTCCACTGTTGTGTTATATAGGCCTGTTCTGGCAGATCCTAATGTGCTTCTAGATTCTGTTAAGCTGTTTCTGCAGTCACAGCTGCTTCCATGCAAGTGTACAGTAGCAGGGCAAACAGTATTGAGCTCTAACATATGCTGTAGGGTCTGGACCACTGCTTAGCTGGTTGTCTGCCCATTAGTGGATTTGGGTACACGTATCTCTGTTCTGTATGGGACTGCAAGCCAAGCTTTCATTAAAGAAAAGCCTGTCTTCCACTAAAAGAGGAAACAGAAACTAATGTCTTTGTATTGGTTGTGATTATAGCAGTGTTACATCAGGGTAAGTGAAGCAAGCATCAACTTGCATATGTCCCTCCAGAGATATATGCATTGCAGAGGTCCTTGGGGAGTCCTTTTGCACAATCCATCTCTTAACACCCCTAGGGAACTGAGTACTTGCTGTTCACAGGTTTCCATGTGTTTAATAGCTTGGCTTGCAGACAAGATGGATGAGACATTAGCCAGGTCTACCAATGCATTTGAAAGCATATGGTTAGTATTAGGTGTTCTGATAGACACACTGTAAGCATGAAAGGATGTTTAGTCTCTTTCTAGAAGTTGATAGAACCATCATCAGCTTGGATTTCAATATGTATTCAAAGGGCTTTGCTTCTTCAGCTCCCATGGTGCTGTGAGATTGAAACCCAAAGTCCTAAAACAAGTCCTTAGACATTAACACCTTGGATTTAATAAAACAGATGATACTTTCAATTATAAAATTCAATCATATTTAATTGAATAATAATATATTCTTCAATGAGAGAAGACGAGCTTTTTCAAAAGAGAAATCAGAATAAAGGGGGAAAAAGACTTCTCAGCTGTTTAACTTTTTCATTAGCTAGTTAAACGAACATGTCATTTTACTTGTTAATATTTTTTTCATCTTATTTATCATGGATTATTATTCTGCTCTTGCTTGTGGATAACAAGTCTTTTCAATGCTGTAATCAGTGTGATAGTGCCATACATACATGGCTTAAGTTCCATAAATTGGCACTAGTAGCAAGTAGGAGATATTGATGACTGAACTTGTACTGTATTTCAGTGTTTAACTGTATTATTGTAAAGAATTGTGGACAAAGTTGCTTTCTTCTAACATATGTCTGCTCATACATTTTCTTCTAATCTATTTCTGCTTCTATCAGTCTGTATATGGTTTTACACAAAGCTAAAATTTTATAGAAGGTAGAGGTATGAAGTCAGAAGTATAAATTATAGTGTCTCAAATAATGACTTACAGACAAGTTGCACTGCAAAAAAGGTGATTTCTGTGCTGGTAATAAAGAGTCATCCTGTCTCTGGCAGCCTAGGCTAAGACGATAAACTAGGAGCCCTAAACTCTCTAATGCTTAATTGCACATTGTTAAGCATCATAGTCCACAGATGGATACTAATCCCTGAAATATAGCCAAATTATAAAACCTGACAAGGACAAGTAGAACTCTTGTAGAGGGAAAAAAAAACCATGAAGTTAGGCTTTTGACAGCAACATGTTCATTTGTTTCTCGTTCCATTGAAGACACAAGGGGTTGTTCCCTTTAATTCAGCATAGTAAAAAGTCATGATATTTTTACATGGGTGCTCCAGAAATTGGTTTGATCTTCACGGTGGAAGGGATTGATTATACAGGCCTTGCATCGTGTCTTGGGCCAGTCATAGCTCTAGGTGGTTGTCTACAGAGTCTTTCCATAAGTTGCCACATGTCCCTCTGACAAGGAGGACACTGGATGCAGCAGACCTTGGGGTTGACCCTGGTAGCATTTTCATGTATGAATCCTATCTACTGTTTAATGTTTCCCTTGAAGATTAATTTTTGTCTAAATCTGGCTAGCACAACCAGTTCCCCGTTATTGTAACCTCTAGGTCTTTCTGTAGTTCAGTAACGGTTGTTAACCCCTGCAAACTGAGCTCTGGAGAAGAGTTGCAAGATTAAATTTTAAGGATCTTCTGGCAACTTTAGTTCTGATCCTTTACAAATGCATGTATGAGCCTCCTTAGGATTTTAACAGTAACATGGTCATCCATGTGAGTTTGCAAAGTGGGAGGCCTAATGAGCATAGCTATTAAGAAAACGGCAAGGAAGTCAGTACTCACAAGAAATAAACTGCAGAAGTTTTTTCCAATATTATACACCTTTCCACAGTCTATATTCGTGCAGTTCTCTTTATTGATGATTTTGCCCTTCCACTTAGATTGACTTTCTCTTCAATTAATTTTAATAATCTTAGAAAATAATGTATGCAACTGTATGTAATCTATATCATATTCATCCCATCTAGTCTTTATAAGTACTTAAGAACATGTATTTTTCAGCCTAATACTGTTCTTTGTTTAGGTTCCAGGACCAAGGAAGGAGTTGTTCATGGTGTCACAACAGGTAAGACAATTGCCTCTTAATTTCAACTGCTGCTTCCCTACATTTGATTAACCAAACATTTAGCTGTTAAAAATGGTGTAATTTTTTGAGAGCACTTCAATTTATGAATGATAGAAAACCAGAAAAATCGAGAGGCAGAAAGCAACATTCAGTTTATTAAAATGCATACATGGTTTTACAATCAAATATGGTGTTTCTTCTATGTGAAAAGGATTCTTTTCTAAGGGATGTTCTGAACCACAGTCAAGCTGTAATAGTATGAGCCAGGAGACTAATGAAACCAGATTCCTAAACTGAAGGAAATAACTTGCATTTGGGTCTCTCTGTTGTTTATTTATTGCCACAGTTGAAGTGACCTATGCTGGAAAGTTGTAAAGTACTTGGCATAAGAAAAGCAGAGTCCTTCTTAATTTTGTTTTGTTTTGTTTCTGTTTTTTACTCTGAAGAACTTTGACCTGTAGAAACTTAAAGCCTGGTTTGAGTGCCTAGGTTTGTCTCCTTGTGATCTGAGGAAGCAGAAAAGTGGTATCTGAAGAAGAGAAATGCCACTAGAGGATAACTGGAAGGCAAAGTGGGGAGTGACTTAGGCATGGGTCAGGAGGACTTTAATTTGCTGATTTAGGAGTTCATAGTCAAACAGGACCGATACTAGTGGAAGGGACAGCAATTCCTGCAACAAATGAAGGAGGAAAAATAAATGTAGAAAGAGCGCCTTCATACAGCAAGGAGGTAGGTGGAAAGGAAGAACCATGGCGGGAGTGTTTGCAGTTAAGGTGAACAAGGAGGAAAAATAAATGTAGAAAGAGCTCCTTCATACAGCAAGGACTGTAAGAGGTAGGTGGAAAGGAAGAACCATGGTGGGAGTGTTTGCAGTTAAGGTGAAGGAGGTCAGCAGCACGTCCATGCTGAAGTCTATTAGACTATCCACGATGAAGCTGGGGCGCAAAATGGAGTTTCCCCGTTGCAGTCGCTAGCTCAGCCCTGCCGTACAGTTGGTGCAGTTGGCTGCAGGCTGGGGGCTAAAAGCAGAGTCCTTCTTAATTTTGTTTTGTTTTGTTTCTGTTTTTTACTCTGAAGAACTTTGACCTGTAGAAACTTAAAGCCTGGTTTGAGTGCCTAGGTTTGTCTCCTTGTGATCTGAGGAAGCAGAAAAGTGGGATCTGAAGAAGAGAAATGCCACTAGAGGATAACTGGAAGGCAAAGTGGGGAGTGACTTAGGCATGGGTCAGGAGGACTTTAATCTGCTGATTTAGGAGTTCATAGTCAGACAGGACTGATGCTAGTGGAAGGGACAGCAATTCCTACAACAAATGAAGGAGGAAAAATAAATGTAGAAAGAGCGCCTTCATACAGCAAGGAGGTAGGTGGAAAGGAAGAACCATGGCGGGAGTGTTTGCAGTTAAGGTGAACGAGGTCAGCAGCACGTCCATGCTGAAGTCTATTAGACAATTCCACGATGAAGCTGGGGCACAAAATGGAGTTTCCCCGTTGCAGTCGCTAGCTCAGCCCTGCCGTACAGTTGGTGCTGTTGGCTGCAGGCTGGGTGATTATACCCCAGCTCCCAGGAGGCTGGCTGCTGTGTAACTGCGCTGTAGTGCTGCCATTACATGGGGATTTTGGGGCAAGGAGCAGCAGCAGCAACAGAGGGCCACAGGTGGGGGCCCCACACACCGCCCAAAGCCACCCGCCTGCCCGATGGCCTGCGGGTAGGCCGTGTCCTCTGCTCCTCCCAGCAGAGCCGATGCAACCCCAACGGCAGCGCTTCTGCCAGAGCGTGCGACCACCTGGGCTTCAGGCTGCGGGGCAGGTATGCAGAGACCCTCCCTGGGAGGGAGGGTGAGAGCATGCAGGTCTGCAGGAGGTGTGACCTTGTGGATGCGCTGCTCTGCCTGGGGGTCGAGCTGCAGGAGGAGGCGCGCAGGCAGAGTTGCATCTGAGAGCCTGAGAAGGACTCATCGACCCGTGGAGCTGTGCTCTGCCATCAGTGGTGCACGTAAACCAGCTCAGCACGGCTGCTCTGGAAGTAGATCCTGGTTTTGTGCCAGGAGGAAGGCAGCATTGTGGGGGATAGAGAGGGGTGGAAGCGGGTTACTGCACGTTGCTGTAAGGGGAAGCCTGTCTTTACAGCATAGGTACAAGGCTCTGGGTATAACAGAGAATGCATGTGGTAAGATAGAAGAGTAGGAGCCCTTGTAAGCACCCTCACCAAGGGTGTATAACCAAACCCTCACAGCAAGACCTACATTAAGACCAGCGCCACTTTCTTACTGGCCAGTTTCTTACAATGGTGAGTTCCAGTCCTTGGTGATTCCCCTCCCGAGTGGAACAGAGGCAGCTGTTCGCAGACACACTCTCTTTTCAGTGGAGTTTGCTGCCTTTCTGGGGTCCCAGTCCAGGATATCACCAGGTAACTGATGAGCTTAGTGCAACCTTCAGGCTGACCCACTTCTGATCTTTCATGTGAGTACTAATGATGTTGCAACCAGGAGTGCAAGGTTGATCAAAAGAGATTTCAGGGCCCTGGGAAGACTGCTAAAAGGTTCAGGAGCACAAGCCACATTTCCCTCAATCCTCCCAGTAATGAGGAGAGATTTTTGAAGAAACAGGTGTGCCCAAGACATCAATACCTGGCTCCAGGATTGGTGCCTTTGCTAGAACTTTGTTTTTTTGTAATCATGGAAAAGTCTTTGAAACGCAGGGTATGCTAGGGCCTGATGGGATCCATCTGTCCCAATGAGAAAAATGTCTTGCTGGTAAGCTGGCAGGACTGATTGAGAGGGCTTCAAACAGGTACATCTGAGGTCACAGAGAAATCCATGTGAACTTAATACCTAAGTATCACCTGTGCTTTCAGTGGTTCCTCATCCCAGCCTGAGGTCTGTTTCCATCAACACACTGATGGTGCAGTTTCAGATAAGGCGTGTTTGTTGCCCCTGCAGTGTGGACATGCCCCATCATTTCCTCTGTTCTTAAGAGATTCTCCTGACTCATCAATGTGTCCCCCTGGAGCTGCTTGGGTGGGAAGACAGAAGGGAAGTTGCTTAGAGGGAAAAAAACAGATTTCAGAGTTTTTGATAAACTGGTTTGAATTTGTCACAGTTAGAGTTTTGAAATGTTTTCTCCAACTGCCTCATCTTTCAGTAGCAACAGCACTTTCAGACTTTGAAGTTAATGCTGGGTATGTATATTCACATTAGCATTTCTATACTGAAAAAAGTAAATGTGCATTTTAAATTGATTTGCAAGATCATTTTAGGTATGAAGTGCAACCAGTAACCAGTCATTTGTACTAAGTGGCAAAATGAATGGGAGCCTTTGATCTCTACAGAGTGCAGGAAAGCCTTAGCTGGCCATAGTGCATTGGACAGAACGTGTAATTTTTTGCTATAGAATATGGAACTTCTGGAGATGTGCCAATAATGCATGGTCAAGAAATTTAAGGTATTTTTCCGTTAAGAAATTAGGAAACAAGTAAGTAAGGGAGTAGAAAAGGATTTCTTTTTTCTTTTTGTTCTGTGTACGGTCAGTGTATCAGTTGCCTGTGCTCACATAAGCCGATGCAAAGGATTAACAACTGTAGGTAACCAATGACAGTACTTAATGTCACAACCCAAATAAATGGCTGAGAAGTTGGTCAAGAGTATATTTAGTAACAAAACTGAACAGAACATCTGTGATAGTCCTTCAGAGTTTAGCCTCAGGCTGAACATGCATGCTATGGTTAATAAGGTTTGAAATCACAACTTATTAGACCACAATTAAGAGAAATATTCAGAGGGATCGTTACTATAACCAGTAGAGGATTATAGTAGAATAAGATTTGAGGCACACATATCTAATATCATCATGGATATGGGACCAGCAGCTGACAGCACTAGCAAGCAAGTTAATAGAGGTGATGTTCATCAGGCTCAGCCATAGTAGAATAAAAGTCAAGGGGATTTGCACATGTATGAAACTTGCTGAAGCACTAGGACTCTAGAGTAGGCTAGCTTAGTGGGGAACATCTTTCCCTTCTCCAGAGAGAAACAGTTGATCTCGAATGCTGTAAGTATCCATCTTTATCTGATTGCAATATGCATAGTGAGACCAGAAATTTTAAGTAGATTAATAGAATTCTTGGGAGGTTTGTGAAGATGTTAAATTTTCTTCTGGAAGATATGGAACAGACTGTAAAGCCAAACAAAAGGAGAGCACATCCGTTGTGTGCTGCACCTATGAAGAGGAAATTCAGAAAAGTTGCTGCAAAGTTTGGGCAAAAAAGAAGTTGCTTCTCTCTCAGTTTAGGAAGTGGGTGACACAAAGTGAAGCACCCAGATCTTGGGAATAACGGGTTCTGTGCCACAGCTTGCTTCCTTCTAGCCTACTAAACTATTTGAAAGGATTTTGGCTGTTGAATGAAAATGGAAAATGAATAGAGGACATGCAGGTTGAAATATGGCAGTGAGGAGACATAATGCAAAACCCAGAGAGCATAGCTTCTAAAATGAAAAAGTATGGGCTTGGCAGTGTAAGAATGGAGGAGTCTCTTGGCCACATATTTTTTAAAAAAAAATAAAATTGCAAGTCTATGAAGAGTTCTGTCAAGCAGAGAAGGTAGGTAAAAAAAGATTTGGGTTCACTGTAGTGATGCTCTGAGATCTAACACCAAGACACTGAGAAATGCTAATGAAGTTATCTTAGCATGATTTAAATGGATTTGATTTCTATTAAAGTTCATGTAACAAAAAATGCCTTTTAGGGCATTTGTAAAGACCTACTTTTTTCTCTTCATAGGACTAGAAGTTTGCCAGTTCTTGTGGTCTTATGATGCACCAGGGCGTTAATATCATGTGAAGCCTGAGGTGAAATAACACATTTGTTATGTGAACAAAAATGATTGAAGAGGTTGGAGATAGTCAAATGCAAACTAGAATCAGACATCAAAATAAGTGTGTGTTCAAAGTTGTGTAGTCAGTCCTTTCTTACTGTCCATGTTCCAGAGTCTTGCTAGTTTTGCTACTTTAGCATAGTTTGTTATTTGAAACCCTTTGCTGGTGAAGAGATGAAACCCTTTGCTGGTGAAGAGACTGGGAGCCGACACACTTTAAGGGGCTGAACAATTAAATGCTTTTTTCAGGCAGTTGCTTTCCAAACCCAGAAACACTAGACCGAAATTTTTCTTGCTTTAAACAAAGTGTGACCTGATTGTACCAGGTTTAGTGGCATTGAGACACTGTAAAATGAAGATACCAGGCTGTGATTCACAGGAACATGGTAAGCATGTTATTTGTGAGGTCACCCTTTCTCAGCTTATTGGTGTTAGCTTGTATATTTGACTTGCCTAATTAACATGTCTACAGGCCTTTGACTGTAAATTCACTTCAACCACGTGTCCATTCCTGAAGCTAAGACACATTATCAACAGTTATAAGCCAGAGTTAAGTGTTTTGCTTAGGTCTTTTCTCTGATCATTCTAGTTCTTCTTAACATTGGTCATTTACATTCCTGTTGTTTAGCTACATCAGGTATCTTACAGTGAACTATAAACTAAAGAACTGCCAACTTATTTACAGCTTCCTTGTAAATGAATTCATTAAGTACCTAATTCAATCTTATTTTCTGAAGTGTGTATTCAAAATTATATTTAGAGTAGTAAGAATAATTTCATTAATTCAGAGAAATCCTGTGGTTTTCATCTACTTTTATTGTTCAAAATTGAAAGCAACTAGTTCTCATTTTGAATTGCTCCAAAGGTTTCACACTGATATTATATGTTGCCCAGATGTCTATAATAAGTAGGGAAAAGGAAGCTTCAATGCTAATAATTTTTGTAGTGCTATGGTCAGTATTTGAAATCAAAGTTCTAAGTTAGCCTTATCATGTCCATTGCACACCATCCCTAGAATATTTACTGGAATGAGGAGTCTCTGCACAGATGGACAGAAGTAAAGAGGTCATAGCCTGACAGAGCTCTGCAGAAGCTGATTTACTCTGTTTCTCGGTGATGTGAAAGTGATGCAAAGCAGACATCAACTTTACAAAGACTCAATGGCTGAAGATCATTAAACAACTTAGTATTCAGATTAACTTAATTAGTTGCTATCAGCCCCCTGCTTTCTGAACTGATTTGTTTGTGCACACTTAATGCTTTTCCCCTGTTACTACTTAGTGTAAGTAATAAAATATGTGAGACTGGAAACCTATTTTGTTTTCCCTTCTCCTGTTGTGAGGGTTTCAGAGCTGAAGGATCACCAGGCTGGAGCTTTTTTCCCCAGAGTCACTCTGGTAATAGGGCTTTTCATGGTGTTTAGGTGTTTTTTAGAGATAGAAAAGAAGACTCTTTCTCCTACTAGTGTGAGTGCTTTTGCAAATCTGTGCTGCATGTATAGTTTGCTGGATTTATCTTCATGGCTCTGATTTCTGAAGCAGTGTATTGAGAAGTCTTTCACAGTACCTCCTGTGCCAGCTTTCTTATGCTATGTCTGTGTGCTGGTTTTGGCTGGGGTAGAGTTAATTTTCTTCACAGTAGCCAGTATGGGGCTATGTTTTGGGTTTGTGCTGGAAACAGTGCTTATAATACTTTTCCTTATTGCTGAGAAGTGCTTATGCAGAATCCAGGGCTCTTCTGCTTCTCACACCACCCACCAGCATGGAGGCTGGTTGTGCACAAGAAGTTGGCAGAGTAAACAGCTGGGACAGCTGACCCAAAATAAACCCCCTTGGTTTTTTTAAGCTCTTGAGGTAATGAAACTAATGATGGCTATTGACAACAAACACAGTGCAACCATGCTTTATAAGTGTACCAGAAGGGAGGTGTCTGCTTAAGAGCAGCTGAGCATGTGATCCGTTGTCAGCATCAAGCCTGCTGAATTTGTCTCTTAAATGTTCTGCCATTCAACACATTCTGGAAAAGGGATTTTTGAAAACAGTGTATGTTACTTCCATACAAAAAGATTAACAGAACAAAATGTTTATTAAAAGGACCCTGATTTATAGATTCTGTTAGTTTTTTTTCTTTTTTTTTTCCTCTCCTAGAAAAGGAGTGAGACAGAGAAAAAATAAAAAGCAATACTGAAACTTATCCAAAACACACTTTTTAAAAAAACATTTCTTGAAGAATGTAACTTTTAATTTTTGCAAGATGCTACTTTTTTTACATAACTCTGTTTGAGATGTTTTCTTGCCAAATTAAAGACATCTAATTTATCCATAGGAAGTATTCAGTTTGTATGTGCTTCCCAAAAATGTGTCTCTATGGGTCACCCATCTGCCAAGCAGAACCCATCCAATGCTCATAAAGGGTGCAAATAGAGCTATGAATACATTTTATGGATCAGATGGGATTTGGGCTAGAGAAGGTATAGGATTAGTTAGAATTAAGAATATTATATGCTGGATGTTTTTGAAGAACAATCCCTTGTTTAGATGAGTGAATGTGGTTTTTGCTGGGAATCTGGCTGTGTAACTTTAAGGCATGAAGTCATCCCATCTCTTTTCTTAAAGTGGTTTCGTGATAGTGCAAGCTGCTGTCAGAAAGGGCCCTTGGGAATGAAGGAGCAGAAAGAACCCAGTGGTATTCTGAAAGGTAGTATGGCAACTGCTGATGCATATGTAGGCTAAATGAGTTGTTGTTTCCCTGAGGCTTGGAAGTTAGCTATTAATCCAGTTCACTTTGGCATTCAATCTTCTTGTAGATTAGTGTGTTATAGATGGACATATCAGCAGTAGGGCAAAAATAACAAAGAATTAGGTAGAAGGTTGTATTTGAAATTCTCAGGCTGAGCAATAGTAGCTGTGCTTATTAATCAAGTGTACTTTTAAAAATAAAAACACAAGAATAATTAATGACTTTTGAGTCTAATGTAAAAAAAAAAAGTCTTCTATGCCATGTAACATGCAGCAAGTGTTTGGTGGACTAATTAGAATGCATTTCCAAACTGGGATATATTGAATTCAATAATTATACCTTGCACAGTGAGTTAGGCAGAATAAGGGCCCTTACGTAATGGCTTTTCTTCCTTAAGGTAGAGCTAGAGATGAATGGAAATGTCAGATGTCTTTCACATGAAAGAAACTGAGCCACAAATTAAGGCTTAGTTTTACTTCTGCTGCTTCAGTGTTACCAGATGGATAGTCTCATTTCTTAAGATCCACACAGGGTACACAAAATGTAATGGCCTTATGGCTCGTCATGAGGTTGGTCTGTCAGTGACAGATAATGATTCTCTGAAAAACATACAGCTCCCAGAGCCAAAATGTGATTTTTTTTTCATCTTTCACTTCTCAGTGGCTGAGAAGACCAAAGAGCAAGTGTCTAACGTTGGAGGAGCTGTGGTAACAGGAGTGACAGCAGTGGCCCAGAAGACAGTGGAAGGTGCAGGGAACATTGCTGCAGCCACTGGCTTGGTGAAGAAGGATCAGTTGGCCAAACAGGTTTGTTTATTTATGGTCTTTCAGGTGAAGAAGCGAATGATGAGTGGCCTCCCTGAACTGAGGGGCAGATGGAGTGTTTTCTTTTGCATCTGTTAGTGGTATGAATGCAGGATGATTTGTGTTACTCTAAACGAATGAACAGCAAACAAAATGTCTACTGTTTATAGCTTGTATTTTGAGTGACTTGCAGGATCTGGGAACTTGAGTGGGATTGAACTTTACTATTCTGAAAAGTCTCAATAAATTTGGATCATAGTTTAAAGTGTAATCTGGTGGTGAACCTGAACTCAGCAGCCTCTAGTGGGGGCCAGCAGCTGTAGGATCGTTGTACAGTTGAATGGGAAGATAACTGTTTTTCCAGATAATTCAGGATTGAAAAGCAACATGCTAGAGCTGAAAGGTCAACCAGCAAATCTCGGGTTTAACAGCACTATTTTTATGCTCTGCAGATGAAGAACAGAAGGATTTGTGTACCAATCAACTGATTAGATATATTGCATCTAAAGTCAAGATAGAATCATAGAATCATTTAGGTTGGAAGGGACCTCCAAGATCAAGTCCAACCATTGAGCCATTAGGGCTC